CAGTCTGGATTTGTTAAACTATAAAAACGTTCTTTTGAAACATGTTGCCAAGAAATGTACTGAACTGAAGCCTTCAGTTGATCCAAAATGCTCCGGAGAGGGAGGGAGGGAGAGCACATTTCTCCCATATTGGCTTCTCTTCACTGGCTCCCTGTTAAATCCAGATTCAAATTTAGAGTTCTTCTCCTCACATACTAGGTCTTAAATAATCGGGCCCATTTTACAGACCTATAATGCTCCAATAGAGCGCTTAGTTCTGAGAATGCAGGCTTACTTGTGGTTCTTAGGATATTTAAAAGTAGAATGGGAGGCAGTCTTCAGCTTTCAGGCCCCTCTTCTGTGGAACCAGCTCCCAGTTTGGATTCAGGAGACAGGCATCCTCTCTGCTTTTAAGATTCGGGCTGGATCAGGCTGCTGGGGGATTTACCATGATGCACTAAGCATTTCTTCTTCACACTGTATATTTAATTATTAATCTGGCTCTCTTCCATAGTGTACTTTTTGTTTTGTCTCCCTGCCCCTCACCCCCAGCCTGTTGCAGCAGATGGCTGCCCTTTCCTGAGCCTGATTCTGCTGGAGGTTTCTTACTGTTAAAAGGGAGCTTTTCCTACTGTTGCCAAGTGCTTACTCATCGGGGCATCCTTTGAGAGCTTACCATTTGATACCTTAAAATTTAAAGTGTATAAAAAAATTGTGATTTGATGTTACATAAAAAAAAGAAAAAAAAGAATTGCTACTTTGGGTCACTATCTAACCTTAAAGGTTGCTACTGCAAAAATCAGAATGTATGAGATACGCTCTACTCTAAAGTTTCATCAAATACAGTCCTGTGCAGAAGTGTTAGTTTTTAGTCCACTTCAAGATATCAGGAGAGCATCTTTATTATAGTCCTCAGAATGAGTGGCAGTTGCTTTGAACAGCTGTTCACAACACCATGGAAGTAAAACAGTAAAGTTAGTACTTTCAGATTGTTGAATCATGTTCATCTGTTAGTGTCACTTTCACAGGTCACGTGGTTGACCTGTGATTGTATGATTATGAATTGTAACAAATAAAGAAAATCCTTGAAGAAGCAACTCTTACACAATTTTCTTCTAAATCGGCCAGAATTGGGATAATATGGTTTATACACACACACACACACACACGAGAATAATTAGTGTAAAGTTGCCTCACTCGCTGTAACACTCACAGCCCCCAATAGGGGGCGCGAGAGGTGGATGATCCGGATGTTGATTAGTGATGCCTGATCGGGGCACACCACGCTGTTGTAGAAATGGACGCGTTCGAGTTGTTTCGGAAACTCGGAGTTGGGGCTAAATTTGACCTGAAGAGGTTTGGTCAGGACGCCGCTCGGTTTAAAGTAAGCTTTATAGTGTAGCTGATGACGTACTGGATGAAAACAGTTCATGCTGCTGTTAACGAATCGCTATGGTTTAATGCATTTTAGCTAACCTCGAGTTTTGCTGTCCTGCTTGTGTAGGAGTATAACGTTTTAGGCAAGTTGTTGTGCTTAATACATGTATTTGAAGAATTGTACAACCGTAACACTCACACATACATGTACACACACGCTTGTGTATCGTTTTATTTTGTAGCCCGTGAGGAGTCACTCAGAAGAAGCTTCTCCCGATCCTCTCTCTGCGATTGATTATTTTGCCACTGCCAATGGAGCCCAGAGCTGGACCCAGGCACAGGAGGAAGAGGAGGGCAGGGAAGAATATGAGGGAAGTGAAGACGGAGATTCCGACATAGGAGGCAAAAGAAAGCGCAAAGAGGAGGAGAGAGAAGTGAGGACCAAAAAGAAGAAGAAAAAGACCAAAAGCAACCAAGCGGAGGTGAAAGGTAAAGAAGTTGTAGTAGTAAAGGATGCAGTTTTAAAGTGTTCACTATGGAAACCTTGTTATTACAAAAATTTCGAGTGACATTTAGAATGAACATGATCTAGCTGTTCACTCCTGTTTGATGTCTTCTGTCTGGCTGAAGCTGGCGGTGAACTGCTGAAAGAGACGCAGGGAACTGGCATCACCTGGACCTCTTCTTTGGACAGAAAGATCCAAAACCTGCCGAGTGACGGGAAGGAGAAATCTTCGTTGAAGAGGCTGAAGCATCTTCATCAGGAAAAGGTCCTCACTGGGCTACATTTTATAGCACAAAGAAGTAAAATAAAGAGATTCTGCAACATTTTAAAACTGCTTCTTAGTGGTGAAATGCTGTGCAGAACTGCTGCTGTCCCCCTATCCGCCATCGAAAAAGGTATTTCTCTTTCATTTTAGGTCAATCGTATTCGCGCCCAAAACCGCATAAATGTGCACGGCTGTGACATACCCGACCCTGTGTGCACATTCGAGGAGCTGCTGTCCGAGTATCGCCTCAACCCGCGTGTCCTTCAGAACCTCAGAGACGCTGGGCTGAGTTCCCCAACGCCAATACAGATGCAGGCGATGCCCCTCATGATGCATGTAAGCACGCACGCTCGTCCTCATTTCTTTGATTTGGGATTAGTGCACAGACGATGATTTTTCTGAGGGTTTCACTCTTGGTTTGGTTTGTCTGTCAGGGTCGGGAGCTGCTGGCCTGCGCTCCCACGGGATCTGGGAAGACTTTGGCTTTCTGCCTCCCACTGCTCGCTCAGCTGCAGCAGCCAGCCAATCAGGGCTTCAGAGGTGTGATCATCTCCCCAACCAGAGAGCTGGCCAGCCAGGTATGCACCATAAATTAGAAAGTGATCTTTTTAAAAAGTAAGGAGGCCTTTCCTGATGTGAACAACAGCAGCTGGTGATAGATAAAGGATGATAAGTGACTGACTTCCTGTGTTTTCAGCAGTATTTGGTCATTGTTGTTGAATTGTGTTCAGACCTACAGAGAGCTGCTCCGTCTGTCAGACGGAGTCGGGTTTAGAGTTCACATCATAGACAAAGCGTCACTAGCGGCTAAGAAATACGGACCACAGTCAAACAAAAAATACGGTAAGAGATCGTTGGTTCATAGGGGAAGAAAAATAAGTAAATCTCACTGGCTTTTAACTCCTGACGTTTCTGTGTGCAGATATACTCGTCAGTACTCCAAACAGACTCATCTTCCTTCTCAAGCAGGATCCTCCAGCTGTCGATCTCAGCAGGTGACATTTGATCTGCTCAAATCTGATGGTTTTTGTGTGTCGTACCCACTCTATTTGTCTCTTTATTACTTAAAAAAATAAATAAAAAAGAAGACAGATCGATGATGTTCTGGGTGTTGCTTTTCAGTGTGGAGTGGCTGATTGTCGATGAGTCCGATAAGCTGTTTGAAGACGGCAAGACGGGCTTCAGAGAGCAGCTGGCCACCATTTTTCTGGCCTGCTCCGGTCCAAAGGTGCGCAGGGCTTTCTTCAGCGCCACTTGCACGGCAGATGTAGAACAGTGGTGCCGCCTGAACCTCGACAACCTGGTTTCTGTAAACATCGGGCACAGGTACGGCTCTAGCTGAAGAACTGCTTACTGCAGCAAATTCATGCCTTCTTTTTTTGTCACAATAGAAACATGGGTGTTTCATCTTTTTTAGAAATACAGCTGTGGATACAGTAGATCAGCAGCTGCTGTTTGTCGGGACAGAGAATGGCAAGCTTGTGGCAATGAGGGATATCATCAAAAAAGTAAGGAGCTTACTTGATTTCAAATAGAACAGATTTATTAGTGGTTATTGCATAAACACCCATTTAAATCATTTCTAATTTCTGATTATTTTATCTTACAAGCTAAGATAAAATAAAAGAGTCCTCTTTTCTGTGTTTCAGGGCTTCCTGCCGCCCATGCTGGTGTTTGTTCAGACTATAGAAAGGGCACGGGAGCTTTTCCATGAGCTGGTGTATGAAGGCATCAACGTGGATGTAATCCACGCAGACCGCACACAGCAGCAGGTACATCAACACACCTACCACTCCTGTCATTTATTTCCATTTCAGTTTATTTATTGAGTGCTCTCGTCCTCATCGTTTGCTCCTATGTGGCAGAGAGACAACGTGGTGAACAGTTTCCGCTCCGGGAAGATTTGGGTGTTGATCTGCACCGCTCTGCTCGCCAGAGGAATCGACTTCAAAGGCGTAAACCTCGTACTCAACTACGACTTCCCTACCAGCGCTGTGGAGTACATCCATCGCATTGGTTGGTTTGGACAGTGATCCACAAATAATCAGCCTGATGTTTCCACTTTGTCTTTGACGCGTATCACACTCTGTGTCTGTCAGGTCGTACTGGGAGAGCTGGACATCAGGGGAAGGCCGTCACCTTCTTCACAGAGAATGACAAACCTCTGTTGCGCAGGTAGGAAAAGAGCAAACTGAGTTAGTTTTTTTTTTTTCTTCATTCAAACCCATATCCAGCTGTTAACACACAATTTAAAAGGATTTTCTGGATTTTCCATGGACCATCCTATTTGGTTCTTGGTCTCTATCGTTGGTGTTGCTTTTTTTAATAAAATAATTTCACTGCAGCACAATGATTGCAAGTTTAGGTCACTTCTTGCCATTCATTTATTTTTAAAGCACCTTGAATTTAAATACTGAGCCTGTAGTTTTTCCTTTTTTTTCCCTATGCTTCTCTTTAACAGCATTGCTAATGTTATAAAACAAGCGGGCTGTCCTGTACCAGACTACATGGTTGGTTTCAAGAAAATACACAGGTAAGAAAGCTCCATGATTGCCTGCACATTTACAGAAATGTTTCCTTTGATTTAATGCTTAATTGCTCCCTGTTGAGTTTTGGTAAGATCGGTCTGGTCGTTATCTTTTTGTTTAGCAAAGTAAAGCGGAGACTTGAGAAGAAACCTCCCAAGAGAAGCACCATTTGCACAACTCCTCGCTTCTTAATGAAGACCAAAGGCAAAGATCAGAAAAAAGGAAACAAGCGAGCAGCGAGAGGAGAGAAGAAAGGAGAAAACGGAGCTCAAACAACATCACACCAGGAGAAAGAGGAAAAGAAGACAAAAGGACAGGGGCTGAAGAAAGGAAATAAAACACAGAAAGAAGGAAAAGAAGAACACAAAGTGTCTCAGAAAACAACAACAGAGACTTCAGAAACCAAGTTACAAAGGTGGGGAAGGACTTTCATGCACATTTATCCAGTCCAATAAACTACAAACTGCAATCATATCAAACTCTGTTATGTAAAAAAACAAAAACAAAACCCATACATATATGATAAATGACTCTGTACACAACATAAACCAATTTCCTTAGCATACCATTAAAGTGAAAATCTGTGAAAAGTTGAAAGTAGGAAACATTATTGTCAAATATATCACAGAGGCCTGTATGGAGCCAGAAATTGAATTGAATATTCATTCTTTCTTCTTCAACAGGAAAAAGGGGAAGAAAACTAAGCTGAAGGCAGACTAGAGGAGTGCGATGCAGATGGACTGATGAGAAGATTCATTTGCAGTCTGATTTATTGCCAACCTTTACATTTCTGCTTTGTAATATGAGAGTATAAAATAAACTTTTATATGTGTATAAACTTTTTTTGGCATTTTATTACATTTGCTCACCTGACTGAACAGAATTTTGTATATTTGTTAATAAAGATGATGACTGTGAAAGTACATTAAATAGCAACTGGGTATTTTTGATTAGAAATAAACTATAAACTGTAAGTTATTGTACTCTTGAGGGCCAGCTATAACAGACGGTGCCCTAAAATGTACCATTTCTGTTCAACCCTTCACCAGACTTTTTTTTTTAGTGTTCAATTAATACTTTAAGGGTAACTTAAAAAAAAATGGGTATCCATACACACAGATATAATAACTGTTATTAAATCAGGCGAAATTTCTTTATAAATATAAATGTCTTTATATATAAAATTTGAAATATATTTCTTGCCAGTCCAAACTGTTGAAACCTAACTGAAACCTATTTTCCTTCAATAATTACACATACAGCACTGTAACAACAGTCTGGTGCTTAAAGAGAGGGGAGATATGTTTATCTAATTACATAATTATTTTTTCATGAATTTATATAAAGAAAGAAAAGATTATTGTAATAAATTTGAGAGTCATGCAAACAAAGTATTTTCGTAGCAACTTTTCATCAATGTGATAGCAAAAAAGCAAATTTCCGAACTATCGCGATACATTTGCTATGAGATCTCGCCCATGCAATATACCGCAGGAAACCCCGTTCAGTCTTCCTTTCTCAACATGGCACCGAAGGTGAAGAAGGAAGGTTCGTGAATCTACCAGTTTTGAATGAATAAATCGTATATTTTAGTTGAATTGGTGCCTCTATTTATACCGTATGTGTACGGTATAAAGGAATATAGTGAAATTGTTTTGTTTGAGCTCAAGTTATTGCTGTCAGAGCTGTAAATATGTGGATATCTCAAGAGTGTGGGTCCGGCATGTAGACTGTAACGTGATGCTGGCTAAGCTAAGCTAAATCAAACCGCTGTTGATGAAATCGCATGTGTTTACAGTTACATTTATTTAATGTTTTCTTGTTAAGTTGTCTCTTATGGACACGGCTTAGCTAGTTCATCTCATTATGGCTTCATTAACTCAGATATGTCTGCGGATTAGGTGTTTTAGCTCGTGTTAGCAATGGCCTGAGCAGGCTTTAAAACGTTGCATTAGCAGCGCGTGAGAGCATCTCTAAATTTCTTTGATGTTATTGAAAATTTGACTGTTGAAGTTTTAGCTGTTGTAGTCAGTGATACTTCCTGTAACGTAAAAAACCCTGAGAGCGTGTTGGTGTGCTAGTAATCTGCCTTCTGGGTGTTAATACTGTGTGGACGGCAGATATGGTTGTGTGCATACTGAGCAGTAAGAAGTAAACTCCCATGTCTTTTAAGCACATGTATCTTAAGATCATGATTCAATGTAAGTACTGTCTAACTTTGAAATAGCTGTGAGGCAGATCCATTCAGCTTCATTTGTATATAATGCTTATTTTAGTATTTGTGTCAGTGTAAATGTGGCTTTCACTGGATCAGCTACAAATCATTACAGTATTCAGTAGATGACCTGCTGTGTACATTGTGTAAAGTATGTGGGCCACAGGTTGACTTGACAGTGCTGTGATATTTTCCAAAGTGTTCTTTGCCATATCGACAAAGCCTAGAATAATGAACCACTGTCTAATAGTGGTAACTTTCTTTTCTCCCAATCATAGCTGTCCCTGCCAAGACTGAGGCCAAGTCAAAGGCTCTGAAGGCCAAGAAGGCTGTGCTGAAAGGCGTACACAGCCACAGGAAGAAGAAAGTCAGGACTTCTCCCACCTTCCGTCGCCCTAAAACCCTCCGTCTCCGCAGACAGCCCAAATATCCCCGCAAGAGTGCTCCTCGCAGGAACAAGTGAGTTACAAACAGTTCACGCAGGTCACAAACATGGACCTTGGTGCACATGATGGTAATAGCGATCAAAGCATGAAAAAGCATGATTCCAGTTTTTTTAAACTTCTGATGCACCAATCTTAAATTTTTTATAACATGTTTGTAGTGAGCAATAGTTAATAAGCAGTTAACCTTTAATTATATTGTAGAGACTTTGAAATTAAGTGAGGACCTCTGACCAAAGAACTTGTGCATTTTATTTTATAGGTTGGATCACTATGCCATCATCAAGTTCCCCTTGACAACAGAGTCTGCTATGAAGAAAATTGAAGATAACAACACACTTGTGTTCATTGTGGATGTCAAGGCCAACAAACATCAGATCAAGCACGCTGTCAAGAAGCTGTACGACATTGACGTCGCCAAAGTCAACACACTCATCAGGTAGAAATCCTCACACAGGCTGAGCCGAAAGCCAACTTCATACAGACCTTTTCAGTCCTTTACACTTTCCCATGAAGGAAGCATTGACTTCATATATACTCATCATACGCTGTGCAAGTATCTGGATAAATATGACATTTAAGTGGATGTGCTGAAAACAAGACAAACCAACACATCAGGATATTACAGGAAGATTTCCAACCGATGTTATTGTGGAGGGGGTCATGGGACCCTTTTTTTTACCCATTAATTTGTATAGCATTGACATGAGTGTGTGTGTGTGTGTGTGTGTGAGAGAGATTTGTTTTAGCCTTCTGGTAAATGATTTGCCTGATATCTGTCCATCTATGTCCCAGTAATGAATTTGAATTTGCCACATCTGACAGCCAATAACAGCCAATTTGGTGCACATGATGGTAATAGCGATCAAAGTATGAAAAAGCATGATTCCAGTTTTTTAAACTTCTGATGCACCAATCTAAAAAAAACCCAAAACATTCTAAACATGTTTGTAGTGAGCAGTAGTGAATAAACATGCCTTTATGTGCAGGCCTGATGGTGAGAAGAAGGCGTACGTCCGTCTCGCACCTGATTACGATGCGTTGGATGTTGCAAACAAGGTGAGCCTTTATTCCGCTGTTGACTTTCTGAAGCCAAATCAGTCATGTGCATGTGATGTAAACTTTATATTTGCTCTGAATGTCTGTGATGCATTCAAAGGAACCACTGATGCAAAACAGTGCAGATACAGATGTGACGACTCTGTTGATGAACATTGTGTAATTAATATCCTTTTTTATTTTATTTGCAGATTGGCATCATCTAAACAGCAGTCGAAGAGACTTGTGGAATAAAAATAAATATTTGTATAAACAAGCTCTTCAGTCATCTTGTGTGTTTTTTGGAGTGTAATTTACACCTTTGACAAACACTTGAGTTATTGTAATTATGATTCAGTTAAGCTGTGGAAATACTGCTCCATCCTGAAAGTGAAATGTGTGCACTTTTCTTCAGCATAGATAAGCACTGATTATTTCCTAAGCACATAAATTTAATTATCAACCTGTGAGCGATTGGCTGTGATCCCTTTTTTATGCCAACACTTACATTTGATAGCAGTTTCTAATTTTAGTTTTTTAGTACAAATCTCAGTGCTTTGATGACGATGAGAACCTGCTAAATTTATTAGTTTATTAAGCTCTCCTGATAGCGAGTTTGAGATTACTGACTGTATTTACGCATTTTATAAAAGTTTATACATGTTAATGATATTTTTGGAGCACAAAAGAACACAGTAAGAAGAGGGGAAATTTGTGATTTAAACATCTGCTTGCTCTATTTTCAGTTTAAATATTTGTCAGTTATACATAATATTAGCAGTGCTCACCCATTCCTGGTTCACTCCACAGCAAAAGAGTGAGACAAGGCATTGTTGCACGTTATGGCAGTACACACAGAAGTATCACAATCAGTCAAGATTGGCGACCAAAGATCATCCACCCTTTCACTCAGCAATGGCTCACCACAGAGATGTGTGCCGAGTCCTCTCCTATACACCATCTGCACCAGCGACTGCATCCCAAAAGCCGATCTCCCTCCCCTATCCATAAAGGGTGACTGCATGGAGAGGGTACCCACATATTCGAGGACCACAAACACATCAGCCCTGGTGAAGAAAGCCCAGCAGCGCTTCCCATTTCCTGAGGGTTCTGAGATTTGAAAGGCTGCAGACTGACCTAATACATTCTTTCTATTGAGCCACAATCGAAAGTGTGCTGGTGCACACTATCCCCGTGTGGTACACTGCTTGTACAACAGCCGATAAAAAGAATAAAGAGGGTCATCAGAACTGCAGAGAAGATGATCGGCTGTCCACTCTCCACCCTGGACTCCATTGTTGGCTCTAGATGTCTCTCCAGAGCCTGGGCAATTATAAAAGACCACCTCCATCCTAACCACCACCTCTTCAACATCCTGCCCTCTGGAAAAAGGTTCCGATTCATTAGGTGCAAAACCAACAGACTCAAGTACAACTTTTACCCATGGGCTCTCAGAACCATAAATGCAAATTAAGTTGTTTTTTGTTGTTTTTACAATCATTCTGTTGCTGCTACTTGCTATTTATTATGTTGTTTTGTGTGTGTTTCTTTTTGTTTCCGTGCAATATTTTGGCAGATGTGCAATTTCCATCATTCAATGACCATAGCCCTTCCACCCTTAATTATTTATTATATTATCTGATGCAGTTTCTCTTTGTGGCTTAATTTAAAGAGTGAACATATGGCACTCAGCTTGCACTGACACTTTCTTTGGCACATGCAGGTTAATGTTTGACAAACTAGGACAATTAATATATCAACAGCAGTGAAAGCAATGCCACTACAGTCATGATCGTTGTTTAACAGCTATCATCCTCGATAGAATCCATGATTTAAAAGAAAGGTGCCTTTTTATCTCAGTAGCAAACACATCTATTGCATGAATGAAAAGACCACAATAACAGATGTAACTCTGAAAGTGATTGTTTTATTAAAATTCAAGCATGTCATTTGTAGACAGATTGCACTGAACATTGTGTTTTCATCTATTTTCTGACTTGTTAAGTTTAGGGTAAAGTATAAGTAAAAGCATGAGCATTACAACTCTACATCACTTTCAGATACGGTTAGTCTGCGAGCTTCATCTCGTTACGTAGATTACAAACTTGTGAGTCATACAAGTTGGGAAAAAAAAAAGGAAAAAAA